TCAGTGTTTACATATATACCACTAGGTGAAACCATTGATCTTTGATCTAACTGTGTGTTTGCTGAAAATGAAATTATACAGGATATAATTAAAGGTGTTTTTAAAACACTTTTTACAGTTTGCAACAAAACAATCTCATTTCATGTTTAATCGTTAGATCTATAAACAGATTGATGGAGTGGCCTTGCTAAGCTTTTCCCACTTTCTTGAACAGTTAGTACAGTCCAGTCCTGAACTATTTTAAGCCTATGTATTAAAGAAGATATGTTGATGACACTGTTATGGTATTATTTAGATGTTATAAACTCACTTTCTCTAAACTTGATTCACATTTTGAAAGTTTCACTCCTTCAGTCTTTAAAGAAAATCTGGTTAAAACCCTACTTTAAAGAAGTGTTTAAAATATCAAGAAATCAAAACCTCTTTTTGAAAGCAGAAGTTGAGAACATTAAAAAGATGCTTAGAATAAATTGTTTTCTAGTATATTCTAAAGAGAATAATTCACACAAAAACTAAATACCTCATCTGTTGTTGTATTGGATGTTCCAAAGAAAACTGTTACTTTAGTTATATCCTATTTAGACACTACCTCATACATGATTAAAAAGAAAATGATTAGACATCTATATCCACAAGTTCAGTTAAATTGTATAAAACAGTGCATGACACCAGGGGTATTGGCCAAAATGGGGAAAAAAAAGAAGCAACAATCAACTTGGTTTTCAACAAGGCAGGGGACTAAAGAGATGGCATTTCAATTAAGAAATCTAGCCAAAAGAATTATCCAAATGCAGAAAACACTGCTTGTGATTTATTGACTATCAAAAAGCTTTTCCTTGTGTAACTCATAAAATAAACTGATGGGTTATGAAGACATTAGAAATACTGATGTAGAAATCTCTCTCATTGCCAACATCTACTGAAACCAAATGGCCACAGTAATGACAGGTTATGGTAATTTGAGAAGGCTTCAGGTCAGAAAAGGTGTCATGCAAGGGAGCATACTCTCTCCCATACTCTTCAACCTATGCAGTGAACATCTTATTCATGAAATCTTGTTAAATCTTAATGGTATTAACATCACAAACATAAGGTATGCCAACAACATAGTAACAATAGCAAAAGACTAAAATAGTGGCTCTCAAATGCAACATTTCAGAGGCAACAACTAACCACAACAAATCAAAGAATAGAAATAGCTGGGAAGTAGGATGACATCAAGTGTCTTATTGAGATCAAGAGATGAAAAGGCATGGCAAAAATCTGCATGGGATACTAAAGAGACAATAAAAAGAAATATTAACTTGTCACCAGAGTTCAAAAGTATTTATTTGTTTGATAGCTTCTTTACTAAGTATCCAGTGTCTGTACTTAAACAATGAGAAACATAGCTTCCTAATATTTTCTTGGTAGCTAAATGAATATGCTAGAAATAAGCTGGACCATCAAAGTAATTAATGTGGAAGTATCAGTTAAGATCAATAAGTAAAAAACAACTAAACACCATTTCAGTGAAACAATAATTGACCTTCTCGTGACATGTACTGTGCAGATCCAGTGGGGAGTGATCACTGAACATTGTTGAAAAAAAAATTGATAAGTAACTAACTCTTTCACTGCCATTTCATAAATAAACAACCCTCCTAGTACCAGGTTATTTTTAGGCACATGATAAAAACAAAAAGACAAGTTTCATATTTTATTGCTAATCAGAAACTTGAAACTGATAATCTTTGGAAAGTTTGAAGGGAAATACCATATATTAGTTGTGTTATGAACTTCCAAGTTCCTTAACAGTGGTTCTCAACGTGGGCCATATGCCCCCCCCCCCCAAGGGGCCAAGCCATGTTTCTAAGGGGCCACACGTGAATGATGGAAAATTAGAGGGCCACAGTGAATTCTGAGTGGGCCACTGAAACTTCACTGACCGAATAAAATATTTAAAATTGAATCAAAGGTTTCCTTCTCCCCGTATCCCCCATAGCTCAGAAGTTAAATTACCAGATGTGACTAATACTTGAGTATCAATCAAAATGTTTGTCTGGTATCTGTGAATGTTTTGACTGATTCTCAAGAGCAGCAGAGTGATATAACAGCCCAAGCTAGATTCAAACATGACATATATTGTTTCTGGATAGTGGAATAGCTAATAAGTTTCCACAGCTCTGGGAGAAGGCAAAGTTGTATTTTATCACTTTTCCCACATCTTATCTAGTTTTAGTCAGGTGACTTATTTGCTATCAAAAATACATAACTGCCTTGATGTTGTGAAGAGAGGTGATCTTAGCTTTTCACTGACCACACTGCAACCGGACATTCAAAAACTTTCAAGCTTTCTTGAGGCCCAAGGATCACATTGAATAAAATGTCAATGATTAACAGAATATTTTTTATATGTATAAGTAAACAGTATGTTATAAACAAAATATTTAAAACCAATACAATATTGTAAAAATAATATAAATCAACAGTGTGGAAATAAAGTAACTTTTTTCCTAAGTAACTGCATCTACAAAGGATGGGGCCACAGAGATAAATCAAACTCAAAAGGGAGCCACGAGCAAAAAAAGGTTGACAAACACTGTTCTAGAGGGAGACATGTGACAATGACAGTGAAAGAGTTAAAATGTATGTGTGTGTAATTCATTGGACTAGTACTCATAAGAGGTAAAGCAAAAATGATGCAGCAGAGTGTAATATATTCTTGTATAGAAGTAGCTTATTACTTATAGTCCCCCGGAGGGACAGTGGTAAGTCTTCAGATTTACAATGCTAAAATCAGGGGTTCAATTCCCCTCGGTGGACACAGTAGATATCCCAATGTGGCTTTGCTATAAGAAAACAAACAAACATAATTATTTATAACATGAATAGTTTAGCAATGTAAAATATCAAGGTCAAACAGTTGTTCAAAAAAAACAACTAGAAATTAATATTGTTGCATCAGCGAGATCACGTGACTATTCTCACGCCCTCTAGTTT